TTGGGCTAGGGATCAAACCCAGAATGTTAGACATGGTAGGCTACCACTGAGCTACATCCCTAATCCTTGCACTTATTCCCCCCTCAACTGTATGATTTCTAAAAGGGCAAGACTTCATATTAGAGAATACCAAAGACAATCCAAATTATTGGTTTAATTATAGTTTCTGAAATGAACAACTCCTTACATAGGCAAAAATCACTGAAAAGGCAAAAGTAACATTTGAAATAAGAATCTGCTGGTCTTGAACTCTTGTATGTATCAAGCTGGGTTCAAGTCAGAAATGATGTATGTTCCAGAGCTCAAGACCAGCATGGGCAAGACTCCATCTCAAAAAAGGAAGAGGGGTTGAAAAAAAAAAAAAAGGAAGTGGGGAAATCTGGTTTACCACTATGATTCAGATCTTCAATGTCCACCAAGGCTCATGTGTTAAAGGCTTGGTAAAGCCTAGTGCAAGGAAATTAGGTCCTCCCTGGGGAACATGTCCTTGAAATGTCTTTAGAGGATAGTGGGACATCATCTCTCTTCTCTCTCTCCCTCTCCTCACCCTCTCTGCTTCTTGCTGTCATGAGGTGAGAAACTCCTGAAACACATGCCCTCCCCTCTTCCCCCAACTGCTCCCCACCCCAGGCTTCTCCACAGGCCCAAAGGTAGGGGCCAAGCAACCATGGACTAAAACCTCCCAAACTACAAGAAGAAATAAACCTTTCCCTGAAAGTTGATTTATCTCTGGGATTTGTTACAGTTAAGGAAAGCTGACAGCCACATTAACAAATTGTGACAAATGTGACATGTAGCGTAAGATGTTAATAATAGGGGAAACTGGGTGTGGTTATTTAAGAAACTTGTCTGCAATTTTTCTATAAATCTAAAACTATTCTAAAATAGATGGGTGTTACAAAATTGAATATGGGGACTATGTACTCTTCTGACTGAGACTGGCTACAGGAAGACTAAGTCCTAAGAGCAACAACAAACTCTTATGGTGAGAGAAGACATATGATCACAATTTTTAACTAACTTAAGAGCATGAGGAAAGGGCTCTGGGTACCAGACAACCTCCAGAGTAGAAACCATCACAGAGCGCCTTGAACACTGCAGACACTTCATGCTCTCTTTCCTAATTACTTGATTAATTTACAACTGCCTCAATAAGCACATGCTGAGTTGAGAACCAAATTTTGGAGTAGGAAGTATTAACTGTTCCCTCCAATTAACTTCAGATACAACACTAATCATGTATCTCGCTCCTTAAAATATCTATTCCCACACACATTGCATTCACTTGGGAAAAATATTGGCTTTGCTTTCTTCCTTACTGAGAACAGAAAAGCCATTCAATAAAAAGCCTCCCAAATTCTAGTCTGTTCCTTTTATAAACATATTTATCTTTGCTGCAGCCAAGTTTCAATTATTCACACCCACCTTGGTCTAAATAAAGAGGAAGAAGAGAAAGAGGAGGAAGATGACCCCAAAGACAACTCACCTTGCTCTGCTCGGGCTCTAGACATTACTAGCCCCTCCTTTGATACTTACCTCCATGAATGATATCCCCAGAGAGTAACCAAGGGCTAGGGCTGTGGCTTAGAGGACAGTGCTGGCCTAGCATGTGAAAGGCCCTAGGCTCAATCCCAGCACCACACAAATAAAGTAACTTAAAGTTAGTGCTAACTGCTTTTCCCTTGTCTCACATTCTCCTATGCAGGGATGAGATCAAGAAAGTGCTACCTCCTTCCTGTGCTGTTTGATCTGTCATTCTGCCACCTCTGTGGTTTGGCCCACACTGTTCCCTCTTGGACGATCATAGTCATTCTGACTTGTCCTGCAGCTCCAATCTCACATGGCAATGCTATTCCACATGCTACTTTATGGAATTATTCTAAAATGCCATTTGATTACATCATTCCTATTCTTATTAAAGACTCCTCATTCTTTTTCAACTAAAGTTGTTGAAAAGCCAAAATAAATTACCCAGGTAGCCCTTCATGAGCAGTTTGTGCCTCCCTCTCTACAGTCACCTCCCATCACCTTCCCATATGCCACTGACTTCACAATACATGTTCTAGGAACTTGTCACACTCTTTTACACCTTGGTGCCCTGAGAATCTGCTACGCGCACTTCCTGAAACATAGTCTCCCTTTTCCCTGTATAACCACATTTTGTTCAAGACTCTGTGAGACACCTTCTATTACTAACTACGAACATGATTTCTCCTTCTGGGTGTTGGTCAGCTCCCTCTCACTATGCTAACCGTGCTGAGCAGAGTTTGCAGTTTATTTATCTGTCTCTCTCAGTAGGCTATAAATAAAAGGAACAACATTTAGTCAGGATAAACTAGCCTGTTTAGGATGAGGTTCCCAAGAACACACAGCATCCAGTCATGATCTATATTCACCTCAGCTCAACCAAACCTAAATATGTGACCTCTGAGCCCTAGGGACAGACCAGTCATCTGGAGAGTGGTAAATACAGCCTGCAACTCTGATGAACACTGGTTTATTTATGTGGCAGACCCATTGCTTATTAATACTTGGTTCACAAACAGAGAAATAGAAATCTCTTGGAAACATAAGCACATTCACATAGCTTACCAGATGAACTCCCAAGCTTTCATTTCCCATGAACACAGCAAGCAAATTCAATTATACTATTCAAATCCAACTAAGGCATTTCAACAAATATTAAGTATTCAAATCACTTTGGAGGAAGGATTGTGATGTCTTAGTGAGATGAATAGACAGACATATTAAAGGGATAGGAGATTCATCCAAGTGGATTTCAGCTGCTAATTTCCACAGTTTTTAATTTCTTTAAACAACTGGGCCCTAAGTAGGATTTTCTACTGCACATCATTGGGGAAGGCTTGTGCTTGAAAGGGCCCAGTTAAATACAACTCTGTCTTAGGGTCTCTGTGGGAAGTCCATTCCTGTTTTAGCTAATTGATATTGAACTAGCTTTGTCATTCCCTAGATTTTCTGCAACACACCACATGCCAATTAATCAAGTTACAGAGATTAGCAGAGGGGAGGGAATGCATTATAAAGCTGTGTTCTGCAGGAAGCAGACTTTATTTTCTCCCTGCTGCTTGTCTCATTTCCTCTCCTTGCAATGAGACTTTGTGCCAGTGGAGTAATGGGAAGAAATCTGAAATATTCTGTGGGGAAAGATGCTACAAAATACATTGGTGACTGAGAAGCAACTTCTGCCAGGCAGCTGAACAAAATATTGGTAGTCAGGGTGCAGTACTAGATGAGATGCCCGAGCTTCCAATGAACATGTTTTGATCTAACCTTTGTCAGGGAACCCATCTTCACTTGAAATGACCTTCATTTTCTTCTATTTTTTTTTTTTTATTTTTTTAATAGTTGTATATGGACATGATACCTTATTTATTCATTTTTATGTGGTGCTGAGGATCAAACCCAATGCCTCACAGGTGCTAGGCAAGCACTCTACCACTGAGCTACAACCCCAGCCCCATGACCTTCATTTTCAAATACAAACAGGACCTCGCTGGATCACAGTGTCTGTCCAAGTCTCCTAGCCTTGTAGGAAAAAAATTCAAGTTGAAGATATTACAACTCAAGTTGAATGTATTACAGGGGCTACTGAGACTCTTGCTTTGTGACCCAAACACATTCCCAAGAAATCAGGGTCAACAAAAGCCTCAGGGAGGCAAGTCCCATCCAAACGCCCCCATGCTGCTGTCCTCTTGGCATGAGCTGTGCTGCCCTCCACTGCACTGTCAGTGGACAGCTCCTGGCAGCCACCTGAACCCCTGGAATCCCTAAAGATACAACCAATCGCATCTGGGTTTTTCGGAAATCAGGTGAGTTGTTCTGTCTGCTTTTATTAACCCTGACATATCACGACAAGTATACTTTTCAGCATTTCTCTGAAGGGTTCTCTGGGGGATACCAACAGGAGAAGAGATTGGGTTAATATTCTGCCAAGCTCTCGCCTAAACAGAGAAAACACCAGAAACGTCAATCCATCAAAGCCAGAAAACTGCATGGAACTGTACACAAAATACACAAGAGAGTAAATGGCTGGTCATGTCCAGGAAAAGAGCAACAATGGCAAAAACAAAAAGCACCCTATCCTGGTGTGAATTGTTTCTCATGACAATCACCATTTACAGGAGGAGAAAACTTCATCCATTCTACTGTCTGTTCAAAATTATGATCTCTCGTCATCATCTTCCCAGCCATGATGACAGATAATACAGAAAGAGATTGCATTTTCTTCTCCAGGTGGCTAAACAGCTCATTCATGATGCCAGTGGATGAAATATAACAGGACCAGGGCCCCATCTAAATTCTATCACCTACTCTAAAAGAAGCCAAGAGAAAAGATAATAATCTGTCAACATGGGAAGGAAAAGGAAAAATAGCAATGGCTTCAAAACAATAAAAGTAGATCAGAACTAAAAAAGGCCAGATATCTGAATGACTAGCAATATTCAAGTAGAGTAGATGTGCACTTTTTTTTTTTTTAAACTGGGAATTGAACTCAGAGACACTTTACCACTGAGCTATATTGCCACACCCCCACCTTTTCTTTGAGACACGGTCTTGCTAAGTTGATGAAGTTACCCTCAAACTTATTATCCTCCTGCCTCTGTCTGTAATTATAGGTGTGTGTCATTACACCACACTAGATGTACCTTAATTGACACAGAAAAAGGAGACATCTGTTTTTAAGATAAACACACAGGGATGGGTAGGTACCATTTGATGAACACCTCCCATTCATCAGGCAGCACGCTAGAGGTTTCAGTATCAGTCAGGAGTTGTCCTCATCTTAGTTAAGGAAACTAAGAACCAACCAGGTGAATTAACCTAAGGTCACCGGAGTGAGTTGGAGAGCCAGGACTTGTCAGCCCTCTCACCAGCTCAAAAGCTGGTGTTTGTCCCTGCATAACCACCACCACTCTTAGAAACAAGCATTTTCAAGAAATAATGTTGGATCCCACAGACACACACCAAGAGCCAACAACCAAAAGTTCAACTTTATTCAGTCTTAAAGGCCAAAAATGGCATAATTCCATATTTTTACACCTTCATGTACAGATAAGCACTCTTTACTAAGTAACTGACTAAGTGATGTGCCAGGAGTTACTAAAAAGAGGCATTTATAGAACAGAATTTAGTAGTTCGTAGAACTGACTGGGGCTGCTCCATATTCCACCATGGTGACAGATGTCCAAGAACAGTGTGACAACTCATGCCATGTGTCATCTGGGCCTCAGAATGCTGAAATCAGGTGAAACATTACTCTAGGTGTCTGTTGAGGGCGTTTCTGGATGAGAATAAGGCTTGATTTGGCAGAATGAGTGAAGCACACTGCCTCAATGTGGTAGCTTTGCCTAATCCATTGAACACCTGAATACAATTAAAGGAAGAGGAAGAAAGAATTTTCTCTCTACTTCTTTCCAAATTGACACAGAGTCTCCAGGTTCTCAGACTCAAACTGGAACTCGCACCATTGTCTCCGCTGATTGTCGGACCTTCAGGCTCAAGATGGAACTACAGATTCCAAAACCATGTGAGCCATTCCTTATAATAGATCTTTTGTATGTCTTAATTGGTTCTGCTCCTCTGAAGAACCCTAATAAAAAACAGATAACATCAAAAAGCTCCAAAAACCTGAAACACGTTTGAAAAGCTGGGATAACCACAGTACTGCCTAAGGAAACTATCAGATCTTCAATGATATCCTGGATTGGTTGTAGATCAAATACTGGTACAGTTAAGGGGTTTTTGTTTATTGTTTGCTTACAATATGGGACTGAACTCAAGGGCATTCTACCACTGAACTTTATTGGGGATGAATGAGGTCCTTTTATTTTTAATATTGAGGCAGGGTTTTATAAATTTCCCAGGCTGGCCTCATACTTGTGATCCTCCTGCCTCAACCTCCCTTGTCACTGGGATTTCAAGCAGGCATCATCATGTTCAGCCTGACATTCTCTTATATTAAATCATTGTTGTTATAGATGCCTCATTATGGATGAATTTATTATCTAATCCATTGGGATATATGATAAACCCAACAGCATATATTAATGTATAATGAAATCAATATATTAACTAGATTTTAAAATTATAGTTGAAATAAGAATCATTTCTAGCACTAATGCCAAAGCAGATGAATACATAAACCACATAGTCCTACCACAAAATTCCCCAACAAGAGATATATCATTGTTGTCACTGAGTTTCTTTTGCCTGAAAGTAGAAATAAAATCAGGGCACCTTATCTAGAAGTCTGTGACCTAAAAAAAAGAAAAAATAATTAAAAACTGAGAACCATCAATCTGAAGAAGGTAAACCCAAGTTCCCTTAAAATTTGTTCTCTCTCTCAGAATCCTTATGGTTAGAAAGTTATTATTTCCATTTGGCTAACATAAAACCTTCTCTGTTTTGACGTAAGCTTAACTCAAACTACACAAAATACAACAAATTATTTAAACTCCAACACATAACAGAACTCCAAGGGTCAACTTTTACTCGATGTGTAGTAGGACCTATTCCCCACAGGATTCATGCTACCCAACTCTGTATCTGAGTCTGATTTCCAGGTATCTCTGTCTTCACTGGCCAACTATTTCTATTTCTTCATTGTGAAATGGCTACTACTTAGGAAAGATCCTTGCTATAGGGAAGAAATGATATGGGATATATAATAAACCCAATAGCATATATTAATGTATAATGCCTTTCAGAAACTATTTTCTTGGCTTTCCCAAACACACTCAACTCAACCTTTGTTCCTACACACCACTGATTCTTAACTCCTGTTTTGGAACCTGATTCTCAAATCATCTCAGCAGGTCACATCTGGTCATTCTCAAATTTAGCAGCATTCTCTGCCATCCTGTAAGTAGGGAGAGAAAGAATTGTTTTTCCACTTTACAAACAGATTTAGCATGGGAATTATTCACTTAGAGGTTGAAACTATCTCTTTAACATTTACACTGACTTCAAATTACATAATGTAATCCAGAAGCCTGGAAAAAACCTTAAACTACACACAAAACCCTCCATGTATATATTCAAGTAGGTATATTTGTGGGGACTGCCCATAGCTCTCACTGGATTCTAAAATGACGAAAGGTGGTTAGAAATCATAGCAATAATTTGAAATCATAGAAATCATTGCTATGATGGAATGCTCTCAATCCCATTCAAAATTACAAGGTCTCATTGCTGAAAAAATAGCTAAAAAATAACATTGTGTTAAAAAGGTATATCTAATTTAAGAAGTTTTTTTTTTTTTGAATCTCTGAAATCTGTTGGATTAATAAAGAGTTTATGATTTCAGAGAGATCCGCTCTAGGATAAATCAAGGCAAGAGAATGGCATTAGAAAGTCCAGGACAAGAATTCAGAAGAGTCAGGTGAATGGTACATGCCTATAATCCCAGAGGATAAGGAGACTGAGGCAGGAGGATTGCAAGTTCAAAGTCAGCCTCAGTAACTTAGCAAGACTCTAAGCAACTCAGCAAGACCTTTTCCCTAAATAAAATATAAAAAAGCGATGTAGATGTGGCTCAGTGGGTAAGCACCACTATGTTCAATCCCTGGTACGAGAGAGAGAAGGAGAAGGAGAAGAAGAAGAAGAAGAAATCTAAGAAAACACCAAAAGGACCTGGTAAAGGGTACATTATAAGTCAATCAGCAGGAAAACCATTTTTTACATCGAGGAATAGACTTGGTGATCTGAACATACAGTTCAAAGGACTGCATCATGGGTGGTTCAGAGGTTGGCTGATAATGCCTCTCACCTACTACCCACCTGCACCTACCAGGCTGAAAATGTGAAATTATGCCACTCCATCCAGAGAAGAAGCATTCAGTAATATGCACCAGGCAAAGAAATGCTGTCCCTGGCAAGGTGCGAAGTCTGTGAAAGAGCATAATATTGTTGTGAAAATATTTCTGCTACTTTCACATATCACTTAGGCTAGTAAAAAAGACATTGTTACTGTAATTATGTGAATTCAGTAAAACCTAATGAGGCACTCTTAGCTTTCAACAGCAAATGTAGAATGTAAATAGCAGGAATTTTCTTGAGATCCTGGAGGAAAGGAATATAAAGGATATTCATGTGTTTCTCTTCCGAAGCTATAGCTGGTTCAGGAATATAGGATTTTACCCTTCAGAATATCCTCTCTCCTTTAGTTGTTCTATAAAATAAGAATTAATAACTAGAAAGCTTCTCCACTACCAAATTATACTCAGAAATATCAAATCAGAATTAAGAACAATTATCTTTCCCTCCTTAATTGTGACTTCCCCTGGCAACCCATTTATTGGATGAATAACAGCCTATCTCCCTAAAGGCTTCTAGACATTCAGAAGAGGTTGAAAGCTGACTCTACCACTTTTTAATTTGTTGCTTCTAAGCCACAAATCAAGGCCTACTTTGTGGAAACTGAGTTGGCCCCTGAAAAATTTGTCCTTTGCCAGCTGACAAAATGTTAGGCTCTGTCAATAGAGGTCACTGCAGAGATGTTGCAAAGGAAGGACTTTGTGCTGAGTCCTCTGGGCTCCAGTGTCCAGCCCTGCAGTGCAGGCTGCAGTACTCAGCTCCCCAAGGAGTTCCCAGAAAGGTCAGCTCTTCCTTTGGGTTACTTTCATACCACTGTGCTTCCTACAAGACACTTCTCACCAAACATCCTTTGCCAGCACCTAGAAGGCATATTATCATAAAATGTCAGGGTGTTGTTCCAGCAGTTCCACCAGCCTACCACCGCTACTTCTGAGCTATTTTAATATTTTTTTTTGGTAAAAGAAATTGAACCCAGGAGTCCTGAACCACTTCCCCAGCCCATTTTTTATTTCAGTACAAAGTCTTGCTAAGTTGCTTAGGGCCTCCCTATATTGCTAAGGCTGGCTTTTAACTTCCGATCCTCCTGCTTCAGCCTCTGAAGTTGCTGCAATTACAGGCATGTGCAACCACACCTGGAAAATAAATCTTAATATTTTACTTTCCCTGATCCAGCCACAGTGTGATTTCTGCCTGGTGATTGGGCCCTTACCTATACACCTGTACCTCTAGAAGGCTGAAGCAAGAAAACTAGATATAAGAATGCTGAGGAGTTCAGACCACAAAAGCAGACAGGTAAATTACTATGCAGTTACATATCTCAGTTGCCATCTTTTGCAGAGCTTAAGCTGGCAGTCCAAAATGGAGAAGACATCCTAGTGCATCTATTAACTGCCACTCTGTTCAGGGTCTTGGGTCATATACAGGAAACACAAAGAAGATGGCATGGCACCCTAAAGGAACGACTAACCAGATGGAGACACTGAAGATATATAAACTTCAAAGCAGTGAGCTGCGAAAGCAACAGTGATAGTTACAGGAAATAATATATAGTGTAATAATGGATCTCAGGCTGAGATGTATAGTGTCTTTCTTATCCTGAGCAAGAATTAATTATCTGCAAAAGCCCTGTGCGACAGAGAAGAGGCCTACTCTTCAAATGGTCATCCAAATCTCCATTTGTCCTGCAATAATGAGGTATTACTCAAATACTCAAATCCAATGGACCCTGGACTCCTGCTGTGACCAGTTACCTTTTACTTCACTGTTCAGATAGAACTAAGTAAACATTTGGGCAGAGGGAGAAAAAAATAAAGGAAATCTGTTTCAATTCAAGTGTGTCTGACAGGGGGAGTTCTGCCTAAAAGATTTTTAAAGAAGAGATTAGAGAAACATGGTGACTATAATCTATCAAGGCCAAATTAAAATGCCCTCAATAAAGCCCCTCCACATGAGGCTATTAAGGAAACCCAATAACCACATGGTGAAGAATAAAACCCTGTCATTCACGGAAAGACAGAAAAAGTGATTCAGGGCCAAATGCAGGAATAAAGAGACTACCTTTGGCTCACCACAAGAGTAACAGTGGGGAAGCTCAGAACGTGAAGCCCAGGAGCAGGAGGGTTCTAATGAACCATCTGGAAAGTGGGAGAGAACATCAAAGGGAGCAAAAGTGAAATTTTCTAATGATAAATAAGAGCAGTTTCTGACAAGGAAACCACAAAGAATGCCAAAGGGCTTGTTCAAAATGAAGGATGCCCACTCTACTAGCAATCACTACAGGCAAGGGGCACAGCCAAGATGAGAAGCCCTTCCCCCACTCCTACACAGACAAAGAGTGATCATGACAATTTTTTAAAAGGGGGCAGTGGTTAAACACAAGTGTCTGAAGTACCATTTCAGTAATGTGGTGTAATCAAAATTATAATGAAAGCTTATTTCTCCATTCTCTTATCATTCTTCTGTAAAACCACTTGTCTTTGTTTCTGTGTAAATACTCATGAATTATATATTTACCATGTAATATTTAGAATGTCTTCCTAACTATTGTGTTCATTTATAAGAATCTAAAGTTCTGTATTTCATAGACTGGTAAAAATTTCAATAAAGGTCTAGGGACTAGATTAAGCAAATCTGTGTTAATGAATAAGCAATGATTTAATCTGCCAAATGCAGTCATGTGTTTAAAATCTCTATCACTCCATGAAAGAAAGAGTATGTTAACACACAAGAAAGTGCAAGGAAAGCATCTCAAGACAAAGGAGAATCCTTTAAAATGAAGAAAGACATTTATAAAACTTGCTACATTGCTTTTGTATTGTCAGTTTTCCTAGAAACTAAAAAGAAAAAAAAAAAATGTGATCATGGACCAGGACTAGGTAACCCACCCAAGTTTGAAAACCACTACCCAGGAAGGAAGAAACTAAAGAGAGACACACATTCTTACATAAAAATTTTAAAAAGAAGAGGCATTTAGAAAATGGATTTTTTAAATAATAATGAAGACAGAAACAGGAAGGAAGGCTGATCATGAATCACCTTAGCTTCAAGACAAAGTGCTGGTACATGAATGTACAGGACACAGAGAGTCCAGAGAGAGGTGACCCACGGGATGTAACCAAAGGAGACTGAGGACAAACTAGGGAAACAAGGACTCTGAAGTCAGGACTGACAAGAAACTGCAGACACAACTCCTCACTTCACCCACAGGGACCATGGGTCAGCGCAACTGCTGAAACAGGACCTCTAGGCGCAACAGGAAAACAGCTTCTCTGAGCACTGTTCCAGGTGTGAACTTTTTAATTACAAATTTTAATCACATTAAATAGACACAGGATTTGTGTGGGCTCCCTCTGCTGGGTCTGCCAAATACATGTTAGCTGCCATTCTTTGAAAAATAAATGTCTCAATAAATGTTTTCTAAACATTTAGTACTGAAGCTGTAGAACAGTGGGTTTCAAGTCTCAAAATTCTTCTATACACCAAACAATCATAACATTTTGTATAATTTGCAAAGAATATGACACCACTCACCCTCCTATTACCTCAAGGGTAAACATTATTGTGACTTTGTTGTTTGGTAGTCCCATGAATTTTTTTCATACCTACTTACATATTTCTCTAATTGAAAAACTGGGTACCTGTGCACATAAACAGGGGGACAGAAAGCACAACGAAGTACATAAGAACACGCATGGCTAGGTGTACTTTGTTGTTGAGCACATTTTTAATATTGATTTAGAAAGATAATTTAGCTCCCTGAATACAACATTAAAACCTAATCCTTGTTGACATTTGTACCTCGAGTTTACATTCGTTAACTATTATAAAATATTCAATATACAGAGTTCATTTTACTTACCCTTGCTCCTATCGATGGACATTAGTTTCTTTTTTTTTTTTTTTCTCTTTTCAAGTTTTAAATACAACATCCCAGAGTACACAATTTTGTTTTCATTAGAAACTGCCAAATTACACTGCAAAGTCGTGGTAATAATGGATATTTCCAATAGAAGGGTATAAAATTTGGGGGTCCTCTAGACATTTCAGTTTTCCAGATTATTAAATTTGCTACTCTGATAGGTTTGAAATAACATTTGGTTGTTTTAATTTGCACTGCCTTGTTTACTGATCAGCTGATCCTTGTTTACCTGCCAATCATGTATTACCTTCTTCTATCAACAGGTCACTTACAATGTTTGACCACTTTTCCTTCATTAAACAAAACAAAATGAAAACCCATGTGATGTTTAAAGAAAAATAAAAACACCTACATGGGTGGTTAACACCCACATCCATTTCCAGCAGGAACAGTACTGAAAACTAGAAAGTCCTTTCATGCACATACCAGATCACACCAGGTCACTCTTCACAGGGTAACAACTAAATTTGTTACTCACTGTTCCCTTGCTTTCCGTTACAACTGTTCCACATATGCATGCACTCCTACTACATTAGCCATTTTGGCCCACATTTTCATCTGTTTATAAATGTAATTATACAATGTCAAGCATCTGTAGCTTTCTTTCATTGTTCAACGCTGCTTTTTATATTCACTCATGTTGAACCATGTAGTTGTGATTTACTTCCACAGATATGTAACACTACATACCACCATATGAAGTTGTTCCAGTTTGAGACTAACATTAACAGTGTTAAGAAACATTCACATTTATTTCCTGATAGATGAGACACACTCAAGAATGTCTCCAAAGTCTAAAAATGAGAACAGGATTTCAGGTGTGGTTTTCTTCTTTTTATTTACTTTTGAAAAAGATTTCATTTAAATTGACACATAATGTATATATTTGTATATATTTCATTTTAATTGACGTATAATGTATATATATTTCAATGTGATGTTTTAATTATATATACACACATATAATGATTAAATGATTAAATCAAGCTAATTAGCATATCGACCACCTTATGTGCTTATTTTTTTAATCACAACATATACATAGTATTTGAGTTCATTCTGGAAAAATCATACATGCAAAGGAATTTGACTTCAATCCCCTTCCCTCCCTCGCTTTTCCTCCCCTCCTCCTGCCCCCACCCTACCAAACTTCATTTCTTCTACAAATAAATAAAGGTGAAAAACTTGATATATGAGTATAACATGGTTTTGTTAAATTCATTCCATATTTCTTCACATTTCCCATCCTTCCTATCTTTCTTCTAGCCCACCAATCTTCCCTGCATCTTCATGGTACCTGATCCCCTCCAAAACCACCTTCTTTCCTTTATTTTACTTTAGCTTCCACGTATGAGAGAAATCATTCAACCTTGATTTTTCTGGTCTGGCTTGTTTCACTTGGCATAATTTTCTCCACTTCCATTTACCAGCAGATGCCATTATTTCATTCTTTTTTATGGTCTTCTGCCATAGAATGAAATAATAAACATTCCAATGTGTATATATAACACATTTTCTTGATCCATTTACCTACTGACCGGCATCTGGGTTGATTAGGCTTTTGTGAATCGTGCTGCCATAAACATTGGAGAGGCTGTTATCCCTGTAAAAGGCCGATTTTAGTTCTTCTACATAAATATCTAGGAGTGAGAAGTTGAATCACATGGTGGCTCCATTCCTAATTTTTTGAAGAATTTTTCAATCCCACCAACAATGTATGAGCGTACCTTTCTCCCCATATCCTCACAAGTATTTATTATTCTTCATGCTCTTGATAATTGCCATTCTAACTGAAGTGAGATGAAACCTTAGTGTACGTTTGATTTGCATTTCCCTGACTGCTAGAGATGTTGAACATTTTTTCCACATATTTCTTGGCCATCTGAGGTGGGGGATTTTGTACATCCCAGGGCATTCCATGGTTCCATATATTCACTCATCCTTAATATTTTCAGACATTTAGCTACTGGATTCTATTTTAAAGACCAGGACTTTTTGAATATTCAACACAGGTCTTCTGTCAACTATACAAAAAGCAAATTTTCATTCAACATGTAGCTTGTCCATATTTTTATTTATGTATCTACTTCAGCCTGTCTCAACTTCATTTATGGAGCCTGTCATTAGGCAAGTTTACATTAACGTAGTCAACTTTAACACTTTTCCCCTCAAGGATTTTTGTACTTATACATTCTCACATTTCAGATATTATATTCTACCAACGTGATAATGAAAATTTCCTATGTTATCTCCCAGAATTTTAGAGTCTTCCCTTCAAGAAATGGATTAATTTATTCAAAAATAAATTTTGCATTTGGTATGAGGTAGACAATGAATTTTCCCTAGATGATTGTTTGAGAACAAATGATACAGAACCCATCATCCCCCACTTACTTAACATCACTTCTATTTTATAATAAGTTCCCAACTCTAAGAAGTGTTTCAATGTTCTCTATTTGATTAACCTTTTGCCACTGCTAAAGTATCTTAATAACTACAAAACTATAAATCCTAATACCTGAATAAGGCATGTCTCCTTATACTTATGCTCTGCCTTTGAGTTTTAAAATTGATCCTTCAATTTTTCTAACTTACCCACTGGGCAGTTTGATCAGACTTACATAAAATGAACAGATTAATTTTACGAAATTACAATCTTTATTATATTATTTCCTCCCCATTAAACTAAAAGCCTGGTATGTACCTCTTTCTTCTCTGTATTTTAATAACATTTATTGATTTTTAATTTATTTATTTTGTAGTACTAAGAATCAAACCAAGGGCCTCGTTAGTGGTAGAGTAAGCACTCCACCATTAAGTTACATCTCCAGTAATATTTGATAATTTTATCCATACGTACCTTCAGCATCTTATATAATTCACACTGGGCACTTCAAAATGTTAGTAACAACTATAAATGAAATATTTATTCTATTCTATTTTCTAATTGGTTATTACCAACAGAAAAGAAACACTAATTTTTTTCCATATTCTTACATCTAATAACTCTGAGCTATCATTTAATTATGATAATTGATCTGGATATTCTATTAATTTTCTGGGTAAACCATCAAAACTTATGCAAATAATGCAGTCTTCACTGATGTTTTTCATGCTTATAAATTGAATTTCTCTATTTTACCACACAAACTAAAATTTCCCACACAATGATGAAAATGAGCAATGACAGCAGGTGATTCTAACTGGTAGTTAATTTTGATAGAAATGTTTATAATGATTCACTATTAATTAGGATGTTTGCTGTCAATGTTTGACAGATATCATTTAGAAAGTTCAACAAGTTCCTTTCTATTCCTAGTTGGCAAAAGTTTTTATTCTGAGGCATTAATGTCATGCAATGCTTTTTTAACATCATAGGATAATTAAATGTCAAAAAATTCTTTTTTCAATGTCTACTGAAATAATAAAATGCTTTTTCTCTTGTATCATTAATATGGCAGAATGTAATATATGCATAATAATGAGTAGGGTACAATTTGCAGATATTTCATCTAATTCTTTACATGTTCATTAAAAAAGAGAAGGATTGATACTTGATAAGATCAACCTTCTAACACCTTCTTAAACTGCTTTGGACATTAATGTATCTAACCTCATAAAATGAATTTAAATGGATGTCCATTTCTATTTTATGATACAGACTATACAAGTCTTTCACAATTTTGGTAAAAACTAGTGTAAAAATATCTGAAACTGATGGAGAAGATGCTACTAATTCTAGATTTAATTGTTTTTAGTTTTCTGTTGTGTGCAATTTGTGCTCTTCTCTTTATATGTCCTATGTTTTTAGAAATTCCTGATATTTGTCTGCCCTATGAAAGCAGGGGTGGTACATGCTCAGGTCAGGTTTTTTGACAGACAGGCCCAAGTGCTTTCCTTCTTCAATCTTGTTTTGTTCCTAAACTTATATTAGGAAAATTTCAAACACATGCAAACATAAAAAGTATAATGAATCCTTATGTATAAAACTCCCAGCTGATTTACAATTCATAACATTTCATCCATCTTCAAATGCCAAATCCCCCATCCCACAATATTGTGAAAAAAAAGAGACATTGCAGCACTTTGCCCACAGATATTTTAATACACTTCCCTAAAAGATAGAACTTTATAGAAATGTAATATTATCATCACAGCTGAAAAAAGTGGAAAAAAAAAAAGAAAGAAAAAGAAAAAAACTCCTTAGCCAGGTACAATGGCACATGCCTGTAATCCCAGCGTCTCCAGAGGCTGAGGCAGGAGGGTTTCAAGTTCAAAACCAGCTTCAGTAGAAGCGAGGGTCTAAGCAACTCAGCGAGACCTTGTCTCTAAATAAAATACAAAAAAGGGCTGGAGATGGGGCTCAGCGGTCCAGTGCTCCTGAGTTTAATCCCCAGTACGAAAACAAAAAAAGCATAGTTATTTTAAAACATTCAGTTAGTGTTTGAATTCCTAATGGCCTCAAATGTTTTCTTTTTCATTAAAAATGCTTTATGTTAATAAGATCTACACATTGTGATTACCTGATCTTTCTTTTAATTTCTAGGTGCCATTTCTTCTTGTTTTTGTGAATTTACTTAAAGATATTGGGTCACTAATGCAGAACAAAGCTTCTCGAACTGACAAAGGGACATTTTTATATTTCCAATTGGTCATGAACTGAGATGTGGGCCTACTACACACAACAGGTACACAAACTACACTCATGCAACTCACAAAGAGCATTTAAGAACATCTGAAACCATCTACATGCTAACACAAAAAGTGCACGGACATGCTGGAAGAGGACAACTTGCACATTTGTAAACACTCTGCAGTGCTTAAACATTTCTGCTATTTACTTTCTTTTTAAAATTTTTTTATAGATTTTTTTAAGATTTTTGTTCTTTTTAGTTAAACATGACAGTAGAATGTATTTTGATATATTTATACAAGCTCAACATCCTGTACACCCCCAAGACTAGGATCCTAATTAGAGTAAGATATACAACTATTTACTTTTCGTTCCTATTACATTCTGCATATCTCATCTTGAGCAACACTGATATAAATTTCCCATAGTCTAGATTTAGATTTTTACATCTCTATGTGATTTCCGCTGTTTATCTGTCCTCTATATGCCCTATAAATGTGGGAGTTGAATCTATAACTTCATCAACTCCAACTTTTCAGGCAAGTCTTTACTGTTAGTATCATATTGTTTCATCAGAGACACAGAAGTGAGATTGACCCTATTTTTGAGATATTAGTACTCATTAATGAACATAAAATTAACACGTTTTGTCAAAATGTCACTAGTAAATTTGGTGCCCAACGCTTATTATTTGAAAATATCCCTTAGGAAGATGTCCTTCTCTCAGGTACCACTGTGTCCCTCTATGACCTAAATTACTAACAGTACAGAACTTCTAGCTGTAAGTTTTAACTTCCCATCCTTTTGTGAAGATCTTGTCACCTAGTTGTGTTGTAGATGTTATCTGCACTTTTTCTTTTCACTGTTTCAGCTGATGTATCACTTGGAAACACTAGGGATATTATTAATAGGCATACCAACCTGTCTCCTAGGATTAAAAAAAAAAAAAAAATTCCTTGTAGCATCTTAAAGTAAACATTGAATTCATTGATTTTCAGAGGTTCCAATGTTTTTAAATAAACACATTTAAAGCTAAATATGCCAAAAATACCCTGTTATCAACATCTCATTAGTTTTGCCTTTTTAATGCTATGACTGTATGGTTTAAGTAGAGTCTAGCAATATTCTCCATCGTAAAGTGACAATCTCTCCCAACATATGAGCAATATGAAATGAGTATTTTCACTGTTGGTGAGTGGTAAGTAATACGCAATTTAATATAATATTTCTCTACTCATGAATCTAGAGTTGTGAATTTCTTAAATTTATGAGGCCATAAAAATTTTCATCATTCTTTAAAATTGCTTTCTAACTACAAACTACAATATAGTCAAGCAAGCATAGATCCATGTTATAGATTCTTTCACATTTATTTAGACTTCACCTATCAACTAATAATGGGCAATTTATTTTAAATATTCCAAAAAACTATATAGATTTGACTCCTGGGTACAGAATATAAAAGGACATCCACATATAGACACAAAACATTTATAAAAATAACAGAATTCATATGCACTCACATATAAATACAGTTTCATATTTTAAAAATAAAATGAATCGAGCTTTTTAATCATGGTTTTCAGATATCCTTTATCATTACTCATTTTTTCTGCTTAATCCACAGTAGTGGTGGGTGTTTTTTTTTGTAATTGTTGTTGTTTTGCCTTTTTTTTTTTTTTAACAAAAGTAAAATCTACTACCATAATCAAGAACTTGGCAAATTCAACTTTTAATTCTTCAGTCTCGCTTTATGTATTAAGGTTAAAATACTGCATACATAAAAGTTCATAATTTATTAGGGTTGTTGGTTGATATATTATACCCTATTTATCATCATTTCTATAAATTCTACATTACCTAAGAACAGTAGTGCTGTACCCATCTTCTTTTGGTAAGCATTTGCTGCATATATCACTTTCCCATCCTTTATTTTCAACATTAGGTGTCCTTTGTTTCAGATTTCTCTAAATATTTAATCTAGTAATGAGTTTCTTTAATTGCTAAGTTTAACCCATTTTAATTTGTAAATACTGATATATTTGAATTTATGCCTATATTTTTTTTCATTCCTACTTACCATCTTCCTTTTATTTCCTTTATGCTGACTTCTTTTAAACTGACAAAGCTTCCTAAACTATTATTTTTTCACTGTATCAATATGGAAGGCATGGAGTTAACTCAGTATCCTTTCCCTAAATGTGAAAACTTTAGCAGACTTTACTTATTCATTGCCCCTTCCAATTTGTTAGCGTCATTTGTAGTTTTCATTTTATCTTTTTTTCAAAACACAAAAGGGTTTTTCCCCCATGATGAGATAAAACAATGTTTTGTCATAGTTCATTTCCTTTCTATGTGCATCACTGTTTCTTTGGCCCTGTAATTCTACAATTTTCTTCTTGCTGAATTACATATTATATTTAAATGATTACAAAGATTATTTAATAACAGGAAAGCTTTATAACAAGAAATAGACAGGTATGGTGGCAGACATTTGTAGGAGGCTGAGGGAGGAGGACTGCAAGTCCGAGGCCAGCCTGGGCAACTTAATGAGACTCTACCTCAGAATAAAAAGTACAAGGGCTGGGGATGCAGTTCAATCGCAGAGCACTGACAAGTTCAATCCCTAGTATGTATGTACATGTGTATGTATGTATATGTGTGTGTGCATCTATATATGTATGCATGTATGTATATAAAATTCTACATATGTATCTGTATATGTATGTACATATATAAAATTCCTATCCACAGGAAAATAAAAAAAGATTTTCTTGAGGATTAAGATTAGATCAGACTTAGAACCAATACTTTGAGAACAGAAATTCTGAAACCACTACGTCTCTCTCCTCCCCACTCCCACTGATGAAAGAAAAGCTCCCCTTGGGTCTTAAGCAGGTGCCCCTTACAAAGCAGTTCCATGGAAATCAAGAAAATACAGTAAATTAGGCAATGAATTCAGAAGACTCATGTTCCAGTTTTCGCTCTGCTGCTGACTGGCTGCACATCCTTCTGCAAGTCATTAAACCTTTTGAGACCTCGGATTCCTTATACTGAAGTGGAAATAATCTACCTCACACAATTTTTATTAAGAGCAGTAAATGAAACATTGAACTGAAAGCACCTTATCAAATTATAAGGAAATCAGACTCACATGCTCCTGTGTGCAGTAATTTTTAAACTGTAAATGAGAACACGCAGTAACTTTATCTGATTAGATTAGCCATGCATGTTCCCTGCTAAATTGGACTGAACCCAAACAAATATGAACCAAGGAAAGGGCTATTTCACCACCCTCTTCCTATTTTCCATCTTCTGTGGTAGCCTGGATTTTCCCTCCATTAAAATGCTAGTGTGCATCTCATAGACTTCATAGCCTTCACTGCCTCTCCCACGGCAGGCAGGCTTATAAACATCAGTGTGCACTTTCCTGTTTTATTTCTCTAATGAGGTAAGCTGGACTGCACACCTGTCCAATGCTGTGACCTGTACATCACATTACCGGCATCACAGCCCTTCTTGCAGATTAATTGTAAGTGACATTCTATCACTTGGTCATATTTCCCAGACTCTGACCTGTCTTTGTTCATTTCTTTTAGTTTCCTAATACATCCACATTCTTTTTAATAGTTATTATTCCTAATTTAGAAAACAGTCAACTATTCCAAGAAGTAAGACCACTTTAAGCTCCCCAGAGACGGCTCTGATGGCCTTTTGTGGAAGGCTAACCCATTGTTGAATTATCATAGATTCACAGGGTAACATAGATTCACCTTCGGAATCAAGCAGAAAGCAAAGAGAATGAGGAAACAGTCTCATCCAGTCCTCCCCAGCTAATGACTTATTTAATACAATACAACAATGGTTATTTATTAGCCTAAGGTTCCTATACTATTTATTTTCATATTAACAGCCAATTTAGCTTGTGTTTGCAGAAGGGAGTTTTGTGACCATAATAATTCCTCCTGTTCCAATGAGCAATATTTGGAAGGAGATTGCTACAAGAGTAAATGAAATACTTCCTGAGCCTACTTTAATTCTACTTCTTTTGCTACAAGAGTAAATGAAATACTTCCTGAGCCTACTTTAATTCTACTTCTTTCTCACAATGAAAATGGAGCCATACGAACTAACATACGAATTAAGGATAAATGATAGAATTCTTTAGGAAATGGACTCAAGCTATTTAGGAATTTTTGTAATTTGCAAAAATGCATCTAATATATTACACTAACAATATAACAGAAGCAAGGAGTATTTGACTTCTTGACTAAAAAAGTTTTATGCACTCAAACACACACTTCAAAAACAACAGCAATTAAGACATTCCAAATCATCATTTGAATGAGAGTAAGGAAAGAGCTTAGGAATGAGAACAGTTTAGAGTTGAAGCCAATACATCTCCAATCCCCTAAGGTATATAAGAAGTTCATTATCTCTAACAGCATGAAAACATAATTAACTTCTACTAACTGAGAACTGAAATAACCTGACCACAGGTTTCAGTGTTGTATCTTTAGTCAATCTGAATTAAGAGTGAATTTGAGCCACAGACTATCCATTCACAAGCCGTGACTTGGAGAAAAGCAGGTGAGTATTGAGAGAAAGGATAAGGTCAGACAAGAGAAAACAATATCTGATTTCTGAAGTTATATTAATAACAAATCTGCCATGTACAATGGAGGGTGAGAAACCATGTACAAAAGACATCATGAAAAATGGATGCTTCAGGCTAGGGTTGTAGCTCAGTGGTAGAGCGCTTGCCTAGCACATGTGAATCACTGAGTTCAATACTCAGTATCACATAAAAATCAATAAATGAAATAAAGGTATAAAAAAATGGATGCTTCACTATAGCAAAATAAAAATCAAGAATGATTCTACCAATTTTACTGAGATAACCTTTGTTGACAATAGCAAAAAATGTAAATGATGTCCTTCAGAGATGAGAAACATCTCAAGACTCACCTCATGCTGGGAGAAGAGCCGAACACCCTCCAACTGATGGAAAACTGGGTAGTGCTGGGAGTCAATCTGGTCACGCCGGTAGACGTCACCCACCACCAGGAAGGCATCCAGTCCTGCATGCACCAAGTCCCACTGGTGTGCAGAAGTGTGTGCTCTCAGCATGTGAGTTCGATTCAGGTAGTAATTGTCCCCCTTCTTCCTGCTGGGGTGGTGAGCTGGGATGAGCAGGCTATCAAAGTTCTGCCAGGTGGTGACCACTGGACAAAGGTCGTCATAGACCGAGAATAGTGGTGTCCCAGAGCGGCCCACATATTGCTTGTAGAAGTACTCCTTCACTCTCTCCTTGATCAGCCACAGAGGGTGGTGCTGCTGGTTGTGCAGATTCCTGCCAACCCTGGACAGGACCTTCTGGGTGAGGTTGGTATGGTCATCCTGAGGGTAGGACTTGCCCAGCAACTCTGTGACACTGCCTGGAGCTCGTTGGGCAACAAACTCTGATGTAGCCGGCCTGGAGCCCCACACTTGATGCTGATGGCTTCTGCTGACAGGACTGATCTTCCTCACCAGGCAGACGTGTGCATGGGCAGCCCTCCAGAGAGCTGAACAAACCATCATAGAAACTCCTCACAGATTCTGAAAAGAGCACACATGCATAGCCCAAGTCAGCTTTCACTCTCTGGAGAGTAAAGTGTGCCCTTTGTGTCTCCCACCAGTTCCCCACTTTCCTAAAGACATGTACCCTTCCCCACTGTCCCCTCTACACAGTAGGAAGATCAGTTAAGAAATTATGATGGCAGAGGCTGATATGTTTAGAAAAATCCCCCCAAAAAACTCCTGTTGAAATTTAATTGCCATTGTGACAGTATTAAGATGGGACCTTTAATAGATGAATAGGTTGTAAGAGCTCTGCCTTGTGAATGGGATAATTCTACTATAACAAGAGTGGGTTCCTTATGGTGGAAATGGGATCCAAATAGAAAGATAACCTCAGACTCTATCCTCTCTCCTCCACCACAGATCATTACCCAAGGAAGCCCTCACCTCATGCCAGCACCTTGATTTTGGACTGCCCAGACTTTACAACTGTAAACAATAAATTTCTTTTCATCATAAATAAATAACCCTGTCTGGTATTCTGATATGGCAGAAAACAGACTAACACAGAGACTTAATGACTAAGAGGAGGTGGCAAATACCCAGATATAGACGACCAAACCCTGCAACTGGTAACAAGGAAGTTAAGACCCACAGCAAAGGATTCTGGACCACTAATACAATGTTCTTTCCCCACAGATCCCTCAGGGATCTCAGTAATGAGAATCATTATATGTCATATTCCAATATTCATAAATAATTTAAGTTCATAAACCTAAATCACTCAAATGTATCTTCTAAAATTTGGAATTTTATCTACTGAGCTACTTTAAAATATACAACTATGTGGTTATTTTACCACAAGGGCGATGCAATCATAATAAAAAAACACTTCATGGTATCAAGCTGCATCAGGGGAGCACTACTTTGCTCCAAGTGACCACCAAAAGCTCACCTAGAGTGTACCTGAGCAGTATTATTCACCGGATTCAAATTGAAACTGAGAATACTTAGCTCCAAGTTAAATTGCTGTGCTTGTGTGCTTCTTTGAAGCCTGTACGTAGCACTTTTGTCTAAGAGTATCATCATGAGAGAAGTTTCCAAAGATACCCCCAAACTCTGGATTTTTATTCATCTGGAGCCATTATTTTATTCTGTCCAAGTTGCTTCAAACAGGGTTAGGCATCAACTGAAGTCTGTCTTCCCATCTCCACTGCTCAGTGACTTATCACTGCAGTGGATGTGAATTTTAAATATGCAAATTACAGCTGTATGCACCTTAGCGCACACTGTATATTGGTGGGTACCCAACTCAGCACCCTAACTGACACAAGAAAGAACTTTGTTCCAAAGACAGATGCTGTTATACAAAGTTCAGAATTGTTCTGGAAAAGGTGTTTTGGAGATACTCGTAGTGGCTGTCTATGCTTTTCCTTCTCAGTTTCTAGCTCCTCATACACCCAGACCTACTTCTAGGATATCAAACATGTGACCCTCCTTCAGGCCACTTCACTGATCTCCTCACAGCATCGCTGGTGTGCCCACTAAAGTTTAATTTTCTTGTCCTCATTCTCAGTCATGCTTACATCTCCCACAGTCCATTCTCCTCACCCCCAAAATTACGTGTTCTTTTCAGTTATCATCTTTCACAGAGAAAGATTAATGAAAAGGATAGCTTTCCCACTCGTTTGTGAGAAGCCAAGTTCTTTCTGTTACAGAGCAAGGCCATCTGTGGAGCCACAGCAACTGCGGAGGTCCGGTCACGGGTTCTCCTGTGATGCTGCATGGATTTCAGAGGAGTTGCGCACAGAGGCAGGCAAGCTTATTAGAAGAGACTAGAAAAAGGAAAAAGGGAGAGGAAGTGGTCCCCTCTGAAAGGATGAAGATAGTACACCTCTCCTGCCTTCCAGTTTTATCAGGGATCCCAGGGAAGTTTCCAGAGTCCTGCCAAGGTCCACCTCTTGAATTCTGATAGACAGTAGGACTGCATCAGACATTCAAGTTCCCACCATACAAGTCTTAACAAAAGGAGGGAAGATTTTTCTATCGAAATGATATGCCAAAGATACAAGGCAATCCTGAGTCACCTTGGCCTATCGTGACTGGTCCTAATTGGAACCTGTTATTAAAAGATTTTATGGTTATGGGGTTTTGCTTCTAATTATCCTGTCTCCTTGAGTACTGAAATCTGTGTAAAGGTCACAAAAGTCTCAGTCCTTCAGGGTACCTTGTGTTCTTTTAAGCAAGAAAGAGCCTTTTGGGCCTATGTCTGTTTTGTAGGTAACAGGCTGCTTCCTAAGAAATGTAACATATCCTGTTGACTAATGCCAGGGTAAGGCTGCAGGCAAACTGCATTTGGTGGGGGTTTGGTGGGGGGGGGGGTGCTGGGGATAAAACCCAGGGCTCCCAATATGCCTGTGAGACAAGTATTCTACCACTGAGCTACATCCCCAATCCAGTGAAGCGCTTTTTAAAAGAAAGCATGTGGGGAAAAGCATGTAGGTCCAGTTTATAGAATGAACCTCTTAACCTCAGTTCTTAAAGCTCACATCTGTTACCTATCACTTAAGAAACATGGGGCTGGGGCTGGGGCTCAGCAGTAGAGCGCTCACCTAGCACATGTGTTTGATCCTCAGCACCAAGTAAAAAATAAATAAATAAATAAAATGAAGGTAAAAAAGAAACCTGTCAGGGACAAAGAAAGATGGCAGAGCAGATCTAGGCAGCCACCCTCAATCAAAGTAGTTAAAGAAAAGCCCACAATCAAAGTAGTGAAAGAACAGCTGACCAAGGAAGTGGGTGTCAAAGAAAAGATTTGAAAGTTGGAAGGACTTGGAATTTGATTACTAAGCATAAAATAAGAAAGAATTCTCCATCCTGAACCCTGACCAGAGTGAGGCCAACAGGAAGAGTGAAAAAGACAGAAAGAGGGAAACAGGCAGATGAGTACGAATCACTGCATACTAGCCAGTATTCAAGCTCTCTGCTTGAATCAGATCAACAGGTGTCTTTTGGGAGAGGAGATGATACCAACTCAGAGAAGCACAGGAACAGCTGTTTGGTGGTTATTTATTTTCAGAAAATAAAGAGTTTGGGGGGTGGAGACAATAGTGTCAGGTTGGTAGCAGTGACTTAGGACAAAGCAGCCAGTGCGGGAAAGAAATATCAATCAGGCACTGACAGAAAAACCTATCAATCAGCAGGATCTCCTGACTACTGCCTGTCAATCATCAGGACCCCCTGGCCAATCCAGGAGTTCAGCCAGCCCGCAGCCGCCCCCCCCCCCCAAACTCCAGCAGGACAGGGGACTCTAAAACACCTTTTCCTGTCCCAAGCCCTTCCCTTCCTGCCTAAGCCCCATAAAATCCCAGTCTAGTCAAGCTCTCACGAGGTTTCTCCTCAGGCCTTTCTCCTGTCCACTGTGGGTCTGAAGGAGTTCCGCCCAGGGGTGATATCTCAAAGAAAGCCTATTCGCTGGCCTTTTAAAATCTGCCTCCTTTAGTCGCTGCCCACGTTGCCTGATCTAACAAATAGTATTCTAGAACACTGGTTACACAAAGCTCATCCATAAGGGGAGAAAAAAGAGGAATCATAAAGATCTCAAGAACTTCTGACATTACCATTAGATAAACAGTCTAAGCAAAAGAAACTTAAATACAGTGCAACAAACCAGTGTGACTCAGGGCCAGAACTCTATTTCCTACAGAAGACATAAGAGTAGGACAAGGATCCGTCTTAAGAGGGGCACCTTTGTGTACCTGAAAGAGCTGGGATCTCCATGCTTTGGGTATTAATATTATTTAATATCCTATTTTCAACATTCACAAGATCCCACAAGTTTCCACCTTTTCTTTTTCTCTTCCCCCCACCCTTTCACTGGAATCACAGGTGCCTAGCCTAAAAACCAGTCTGCACAGGGCTGTCTGTGGCACAGCCCCACTAGCAACTCTGGATTGCAAGAGGCAAAAAAGCTGATGACAGGATCATAGAAATGGGTGCTTTAGCAATCATAAGTTAGCAGTTTGAAAAGTCCAGAATTTGAGTGGGAGAAATTCTTCCAGGACTCTCAGACCCATATTTGCTACTTGGGAGACAGACAGAGGCAGTGAGAACTGTTATTAAGTCATTGTCGTCAGAGCTATTCATAATTTGGGATTTTCATGGCCGGCCTACCCTGGGACATCCACCACAGAAGCAGAGTTTATTATATAACAGTTGGTCCCATGGCAAGGCACCAGCCACCATGGCTGGAGATTAAGCACTGGAGTCTTTCAGACCCACTCTAATGCCCAGAGCAGGACAGCAAGGCAAGGCCCAGTGGTAAGGAATTGTGACCTGGGGCTAACAGGGTCATATCAGCAGGCTATTTGCACTGGGAGCTGCTGAGCACATTCTCAGAACCTGATGGATTTACTAGGATTTTCCAACAAGCCCAACCCAAGCCCTATTTTCAGAAGTGCTGGGCATCATCCACAATTGAGGAGAGACAACCAGGTGGGTCTCTCACATGCAGCAGAACACCCACAAGTAGGAAATGAGAAGTTATTTACTGTTAACCCTGGGACAAGCTATTTTACTGGGAACAACAAGTTGCTTTTCCAGCCTGGGAAAGAACATGTAACAAGGAAAAGACACTCAGGAGCTTCCATCAAACCATACTAAGAGCTTTCAGCTGGCCAGAACACCATAAAAATTCTGCAGCCCCATAAGCATATACCAGAGGCAGACAGATAGAAGCCATCTTGGAGAAGTGCAAGAACTTGAGTGTGGAGACACCTTTGAAGCAAAAGTCTGATCTAGAAATGTCTCATAATAAACATACAATGGACTGGACCTGTGAAATTTGCTACCAAATTCAGAGGCACTATGAGGTTACACTGTGGAGCCTAAAATGTCAACTCTGCCTCCCAATTTTAGACATAATCCAAAATAAGAACTCTAATAGCTCCTTCCATCTCAGAAACATCAGAAAAAATAAAATTTTCACACTTTAATGTCAGCCTTTGTTATTCCACTGATAAAATTTTATGTATTCATTT